TGACGAATACTACACCTATGTTACTTCCGAAAAAGCCACTGCTGTAACCGTGGTTTTGCGAGGTCCAAGCAAGGTGATGTTAAAAGTTATATAAACTTAAAAAAACGAGTTCTACGGAATTTTTTTTTATCCGAGGATCTCATCTTCCGGATTTCGTTTGAACTATAAAATCTCCTCCTGTTAGGAAATAACGATCATTTATCCCGTGAATTTTTCATTCATATGAGGCATTCATATTTTGCCTTTCGAACAAGAAACGTTTTTTGATTCATCTCAAAGTGTTATCTTTGGAAACCATGTGGTTGGGCTTTACTGTTTTAATGCAAACTCATAATAAATGTTCTGGATTAGCAGTGCTGATTTTTTGACTTACGAAATTCAGGCAGTCACAGTGATACCAATCTAAATACTCACTGCGATATTCTCAGGTACTGGCATATTATAGTGAGTTAATGTTTATAATTAAGTCACTTTCCGTTTTTGTTTTTTAGGATATTATCAATGAACTAGAACGAAATCTTCAAGATGCATTAAACGTTGTGCGTAATATCATGGTGAATCCACGTCTTGTTCCTGGTGGTGGTGCTATAGAGATGGCATTGGCTCAGGTTAAATTTCTATTTAGCAGTTTATTTGAACCACTAATTTTAACACAATTGCATTCAAACAGTTGCCAGTTCTATTATTCAACGGAAAGAATTATGAGATATTTAGCAAAGTAGTTTATTTCTGTTTACGTTTCAAGTTCCCTAGGATTTCCAGCCACTACATATTGTAGGTTGCCATGAATACCTTTCAGAGAAATGCTTACCGTATATACTCTGAGAATTTTATAGGCCCTAAACGAGAAAGGCAAATCAATTGAGGGCGTGCGTCAGTGGCCGTACAAGGCAGCCGCTCATGCTCTTGAAGTTATCCCAAGAACATTGGTACAAAATTGTGGTGGTTCTACAATTAGACAGCTAACAGCTTTGAGAGCAAAGCATGCTCAGGCTGCCAGTAATTGGACCTGGGGGATTGATGGGTGCACTGGTCAGTTGGTGAGTTGTTATCTCCTCTGTATTGCTTTAAAACTATTCCTCTAAGGTTTTTCGTAGTAGCATGTTGGACTATGAAATATGACGTAAGTTATCGAAGACAGTGCAAGTCATTGTCGAGCACACTTATGAATAGTAACTTGGATCATTCAAACTTTCTTAAAATTCATAGATTTAGAGCTCTATGGACAAAATGAATGATTAATCAAATTCTTAAAGTTTTTATTAATCACACGCATTCCTCGACATTCGGTGATTGAAACTTCTTTAGGCTGACATGAACGAACTAAATATTTGGGATCCGTTATCGGTTCGCCTGCAAGTTATGAAAACAGCTATTGAGACGGGCGTATTGTTGCTACGAATCGATGATATCGTTTCGGGAACGAAGAAACGTGATGGCACTGATTCAAGTAGTGGAAATCCTGTTGCTGATTCTTAAATTTTCATTTTCTTTTCTTTTTTATTGCTCTTAAAATTTTCATTTTTTTGTTTTCTTCTTAAAGTTTTCAATTTTATTTTCGTTTTGAATAAATTTGTTGACATATTTGGCCACCTTGCGGAGATCTTTGCCGAAACATGATTTTCTTTTTCGCTGCTATTGTATAAGCTTTGAGTAGAAAGTCGCTACTTTTAAAGCCACTCTTTTAATTACATCCGTTGATCAAATTGTTGGTATGGACTACAGATAAAAAGTCAAGAAAAAGAGGAAATCCCAATACTTCTTGTTCATGAAGCAGAATGTTGATGAAGCTTGACATTTACTGCGTCAGTAAGACCACCGCTACTCATATTTTTTTCTTTCGAAGTTTTGGGATTTTATTTCAAGCATTTAAATGCTTTTTATTGTTGGTTTATCTGTTTGATAAAATAAAACAAGTTTAAAATTCACTAACTTTTCGCAGCAGTTGTTATGCAACAGTGAAGTACTGATAAAACTGACATTATAGGTTACATTGTTCATACTACCATAATTTATCATGGAAAAAGGACAAAGAAATATGTACTTTTTCGATGTGCTGAACTATTATAGAATAAATTGGGAGAAGAGCTGGTCATTATACGACGTTTGTATTTCTCTTTCCGACATACATAATAGTACCAATAATAAAAGCTTAACTGAGCGTAGCCATTGTAGTGGCTCAATTATTTTAGACCAGTACCTTTAATCCTTATAATAACTTTGGTCTATCCGTCTCAGCCGTGGTTGCCAGTCGGAATCTAATATTCATTCAGTCAAATTCATGACATTAATTTATGGTATTTCCAGTTTTGTCATTGATACTTCCAGTTTTTGTTTTTCCGGAAAGTGATGGAATTAGAACGGCCGAAGAAGATAAAATGTCCAAAACCACGTGAACTTTCACCGCCGTCACACATGTTAACTTTTGACGAATTGGAAGAACAGTTTGCAGATGCTGATGAACGTCAGCCATCAACATCTGGTACAACGAAAGAAATAGGAAATGACAAGACATCAGCCAATGGAGGAGGTGTTGCAAAATCAGACGACAAACTTGGCAACACTATTTTAACAACCAAACCAGTCAGTGGTTCAAAAGGAATTATCGAGACTGAGAGGTTCATTCGTTTAGATGTATTATTATGTCATCAAATCGCATTCAGCATTATTCTTAGCTTGTGTTGAGATCTCATCAGCACTGAGATCAGAAAATTTAGCGTTGAAGTTATAGAGAAAAATTTTTTTCAAAGTAGCGAATATTTTATCACTTCTCTTTCAAAAAAAGGTCTGCGCCATAATTTTAATCTAATAATTTCATGTTAACATCTCAAACATTTTAAAAGGTCCTATGCATGTATAGTTATGCCACCAAATAGAAGACAGTGTATTGAAAAAGGTAAATAATTTTGATATGAATTCAGGACAATGGGATGTGATGAGAAACCAGATTCTGAGGTTTTATCGGGAATGAAAAAGGAAGTGAGTGTGGAAAATGTCGCTTCCACTAATATTCTTATGAATAGCACATATCCGGCTCCGGCAACATTTGCATCCAGTTCACTCATAGATAGCAAAGAAGCAACAAAAACAGATGACACATTAAAGAACACAACGTCAGTACTGCAGTAGATCAATAAATTCTGTTGATTTGCCATTATGTTTTTGCTTTTTCCACTAATTCCTTTAATTTTGATATTTCTCATGGTTTAAACCAGAGACAAATCAGCATTCGTTGGCCTTTGTTTATTTTAGTGTGATATTTTACCGAAATTAGTCATATTACTGATAACTAAATCGGTAATAGAACAAATGAAATCAGAAGGAAGATACACAGTTCTATTCAGTTCTCTCCGATGTGCATCCTGATATATTAGCTAGAAAATATGTCATGCAGATAGACAGAATGAATACATTTTCCGCACATCTAAATTCTTATTTCAGTTGACTGTATTACTTATTTTTGGTTGTAGGCCGAGTATCTACCCATATATGCAACTGAATGAAATAAAGACTGCCTCTTCCGAAGTGATCGATGAGTTGTCAACATTAACTTACTCGGGACAAGTGCGAGAACATAATGTAACTGGCATGCGGCAATCGCCGCTTCTGTCGTCGAAAATTCAGTATAAGCTTTATTTTATTGCTTTTTTTATGTCCATTGGAATATTCGGCTGTGACAAAAGAGAAGAAATATTTGATTCAAATGAGAAAATTAGCTAAATCATGAGATGGGTCGATAAATCCATTTTGAAATTTAATAAAATCACAAAAAAGGAAAAATTAAGTGGAGTCAATATCACCGAAAGTTTGAGCAGCGAATGAACTGATAAACTGACACTGGCTTATGTCCGACATAAAATAAGAACTGAGAATACAATCCTTTAAATTATGGGTTTTTATTATTAATTATTTGTATTTGAAGGAACGAGATTGTGGGTGAATGCATAGGTAATGCATATCTTTCTCCTTGCTTAGAATCAAATGAGTACGGATTGCTGACGGAAAATCAGTTGCTATCATTTTACCAAAACGAACTATATGAAGGCGTGGAAGAACTTGTGGATGAATTTTTAGAAGTGGGAAAGATTTCTTTCTATTTCAAAACTAAGCATCATCATTATCGTGGCTAGGCTTCGCGGACGAAGTTTTGGGGAGAGCTTTACCCGTGTTTGTTGCAAACACTACAAATGTGGGTGTATCCTTCCAGCTTGCGCGTGGATTTTTTAGGTGGAATGGAATCGATCCCATCCTTTACTCTTAAGGTTCATCTGTCAGGGCCTAACCGGCTTGAACGAGTGGTAGCGAAGTCTTCAGGATGTAGGTTTAGTTGAGGTATTCATATCTGAGATGGATGTCCATACAGGGCTGAGCGAGCTCCATCTGCTCGGATTTGGAATCAGAATTATTCTTCTCCTAGTGTCGGGAGGATAGCGAGATCATTCTTCCTGTGGACACATTTTGTTTGACCCTTCAGTTGAGACTTCTACCAGAGGTATAAGCCACCGCCAGTATGGCTTACAACCTCATTGAGTCACGTAAGCTTCTCCCTAGCGACAAACCGTCCAAGGCGAAGTCGATAATATGCATTAGCGGCACTAATTTATAACGTATAAAAAAAGTTCAAAATAAGTATATATGTTCATTATCCTGTTGTATGACTATAGAAGAATTTCTGTTAAATTTTGACCACAGAATCCCTTGTTTAACTCCGTTACTTCGATGTGTTTTATAAAAAATTTTTTTTTCGAAATTTGAAACAATATTTCCTTGATGAAATTCTTTTTTTATAGCATGAAGAATTTCCACAACATAATTTGCATGAGTATTTGAAACGGTATAAAAAAGTATGTGAAGATATTGATGCTAAAGAAACTGACGTTATGGAATGTGAACAGCGAGTGAAAGAATGTGCTAAAGCATCATGGACAGCTGAAAATCGAATTATCAAGCAGGAAGTATGTGCAAATTCAAGAATGTGACATTTTGAATCCAAATATCGTCTGCTCGCATTTTGAGGAAAAACTTTAGTTTAAAAACTGTTTTAGTTGAGGGCTTTTAATGCCTTTATATAATTTAATCTACTAATGTTTCTTTCACACTGTCAATATGGGGGATACAAGTTTTTCATCTCCTGATACGTTTCCATTACATCTGCCATGTGTAGGTAAGGATTACTCTAATTTTGCAGTTGTTAAAATTGCAACGACGAATAAATTCGGACATAATTAGATGTCGTCTGAGAAAGTCGAAATGCAGATGATTTCACAGAAATTTTTGGACTGCAATTGGTGCTCTCAACATATTACTAGAAAAAGCTTGTAAAAAGAATGCGTAAAACACATTAGAAAGGTTTTGTGTTTCCCTAATTTGCTGTATTATTCTAATGAAAATTTATTGCTAAATTCATTTCAGGGGCGATGTGGAGAACAGAAATATGCAACAGGTAGTGCAACTTATTTAGTCGCAACGTTTCATCCCGAAAAAGCTGCAGAATTGTCTCGCTTATTGAAGCACGATGTATCCTCACGTCTTGATTCGTCATTGAGTTTACAAATTCAGGTTTTTTTCCGAATTCAGGTTATTCAGGTTAGGTCAGTCCAGATATTCAGTTTTTTCCTTACTATCTAGTATTTGTGGATTCAGATCGTTCCAGTAACAGTTCCTCTGCCGAGTACTTCATTAATGAATATGAATGAGGAAGAAATTCCAGTGTCCTGGATTTTAGACATACGAATTTATTGAACAGAGAATGCTGCAGTGGCATTTATTGTTTTTTAAAGCAGATTGTGTTGACTATCGAACCCTTTTATTTAATTTCTACGTTATACTATGATGTTAGTTGAGACTGAACATCTCAGAATATATTATTCGAAGACAGGTACCAATTAGTTCTGCGAATAGCTTATTATTTACATGAATTAAGTAGACTGAAAAGGACATTCTTAATTGCAGATGCGTTCTCTTGCATTACAAATTCAGTGGCGTATTGTCGAGTATAACAGTGCCTTTATGATGGAATATCGTTGCAATATAGACAGTCCACCGTGCTGTTAGTTTTTGTAGATTTGTTTTATTACATGGAAAATTACGAGAATAATGTTGTCCTCCTCATAAATCCACCAAATCTTATGGGATATAACAGTATTATAAAGGCGAAACCATTTTATTACTGCCTAGAAAATTATATGAAAATTATATGTTGTATATCTTCTCTTAGAAACTGGATAACGAATATGTTTGGATTTCTTCGGAATTTTGCGGTCTTTCTTCACTAAAAAAATGTTATGTTTGTAAATTTTCATCTGGATTGAAACATCATTTTAAAATTATCTCATATTTCTATGATGTTTTTCCGAATTTCAGTTCTTCCTGGTAGCGCTGATACTGTAAGTAGACGAAATCTTCGTAATGCACTGTCGGATTTATTTCACTATTTACGTTATCCAGATCTTCCTACCCGGTTCGTCACCGCCGTTTCTGGGTGGATTACTGAATTGGTAAGCTTCATATTCAAAATCATTTTCTCCAGTTCATATTTAAGGAGTGAATTTACCTTTTGGAAAGGAATTTTTTTGAAAAAATTCGAGATTCAGGTAGCTGTACTTCTGAAAGCATGTACCTCCTCAGATCAGCAATATTTGTTGTGTCAAGTGCTTCGTCTAGTTTCACCAGTATCTCAATGGGCGGCACCATTACTTCAGTCATATATTGAAATTGACAGCACAAATGATCGTCTTATTATTGATAATTATGTAGTAATGATGAGTTTGCTGCTTTCATCGATACGGTGAGTATTAAATTTATTGATTCGTGTCATTAAAGCTTTTATCGATAATACATTTAATTCTGAGTTATCAGAGCCATGTGACTTCCATATTGTTGTTATGTTTGTTTTGAGAGGCAGATAATATTTATATCTTGAATATGATTCTCAGTATTTGTTCTTTTCAATTTTCGTAGTTTATATTCGGCAGTTTGGCGTTGAAACAGTATGACTTAATCAAATCTTGTAAGTTTCGACTTCGATAAATCATAAGTAATACATTGCAGGGGCCGTGAAAATTTTTTAGGACGTATAATGAATTTTGAAAATGAAAACAATACTTGGGTTGTTATAAATGATGATGAAGCCGAGGTAATTTTTGAGCTTCGACATAGTTAATTAGTGAATATTCAGTTGCAATAGTAGCCTATGTCATTGATAGTTTGACTGCAGCTTATTAGTATAAAGAATTTAATTTTTATATACTCAAACGATTATGATCTTAAATCAGCAATTTTAAAAATCATCCATCGTGTACTTCAGAAAAAACTTATGAGGGTCTGTATTTTCTAGAAGGATGGATCTGTAGTGACTATAAGTGAAACCGATTTGATAGCATTTCTCAATCAGTTCAGTGCTGAAGCTGTTTTTGCTAAAGCAATTCGATGTTTCGCTATCACTTTGAGTAGGTCTATATTAATCGCATTAAATTACTCTAATTACTCGGTCATTTGATATATCGTTTGAAAATGTAGACTGCTGCTTAATGTGAAATTAATTTAGTAGAGGTAATCAAATTTTATTTCACTTTCACTAAGCTGTAATAGTATCATAAATCTCCAGAATTAGTTTGGTATCAACATTTTTTTTAAGGATCAGATCCAATTAATCAGGCTTTAACTTTGGTTGCTTTTGAACTGGTGCTTATTAAAATATTTAACGATGGCTTATATACCTATGGCACATCCAGCTATCGCCAATTTTGTAAACAAATTGGTCATGCACTACGCCAAAGCGTCGTGTAATTTTTATTCAAGTTATTCATACATACGTTGTGGTTTATATTATTAATTAGTTGGTTTTTTAATCAAGATACTATGTTTGATTTGAGCGAGACCTTCTACATACTCGATCTAAATATCTCAAAATGATATGAGAATATCAGCGAGGGTGTCAATGTTAATGATATGAAAGAGGGCGATATTAAAAATTTGAGATCTTGTGAGTAAGAATTACCTTGCGAGATCATGGTAGTTTTTTTATCCGTACCACTGGTAGTTTCACCAATGGTAATGTTAGAGGAAAAGATTGATAATAAAGCATGTTAATGAGGCATGTTCAGCATGCTGTTGTTTTGTTGTGCTAATATAATAAAACAATGCTCAGGATTGACGACAACTATATATTAATAATTCTTATTTATAAACCTAAGCGATGCAAATACCACGGATATGAATAAATTGCAGGTGCTCAGCAGAATTTTTGAAGGTTATCAAAGATAAGTTATCATTTGATGAAACAGAAATAGTGCAGAAAGAATTCGATCGCATTGTTCTACATGCGGTATATTATATCGTTAACAAGCAGAAGTATTTTATTTTTTTTGTTGTCAGACATCTGTTTCTTGTACTTTCCTTTTAACATCGTACATTTGCTTCGTTTAATTAAGTACATCACAAATAGTATTGCAGCTGTAATACTAAGACATTAAGGATGGGAGGGAAACTTCCTTAGGAAATCATCAGTATGCATAAAAGCTAATGCCGCAGTTAGCTGAAACTGTCATGGAATATTGGGTTCCTTTATGATATAAAACTTGCAAGTGTAGTTCTCTTTACAACACATTGCCGTGAGCTCTTGAAAAAACTATTTCCAATAATAAAGTTGACATAAGATGGTTATTATCAGAACTCATTAATTAAATAATGAAACAAGCGCGTGCTAAATATGACACTTCCTGAAATACACTATCAATCATCAAATCATTTTTTTATAAAACATCTATGAATGTTCTTATTTGCCAATTTTTAAAGTTACATCTATCTTCTTATTCGTTACCAATTTTTTAAAGTCATTTTTTTTTTTATATCAATTAACAAATATTGCATTATTTAAAAATAGTTTTAGCCTTGGCCTTTTGCAATTTTTGGTGGACTTGCCATATGATTTTGTCAGTGAAATATGTCGAATGCGTTGTCAAATATTATTGAGGCGAAAAATGGCGCTAACGATAACACAACTGTACGAATTTCCAGATAAAGATTTGGCTAATTTAGTTGAAAAAGGTTTGCATGGTACTTGTTGATTTTATTAGTTTTTTCTTGCATGAACGGAGGCAGAAAATTTTCAATATTATTTAATTTTTGCTTTTTAAAGCTGGCAGTTTATTTGACAAATTACCGGATTTACCGAGTGACGATCGCATTTATATGATTTCGACTTTAGCAGCCATCATTTCTGTATCAAATGGAGGTGTTGATTCGTTTACAGTTGAAATACTGAATGTAAACCATTTTTTGTTACACATTATGATTCAAATATCGAAAATTCTTCAGATATTCCTAAAGCTTCTTGTACTTTTCATTGAACTTTATACTTTGATGCTCTATAAGGATTTCGATTGTTATCGGACTGTTTTTTACGCCGTTCATGGTTTGACTATACTTTAAGCACAGACATACACATCGTGCAAAAGTGGCGCACAGTAAGTGCAACCAATTTATGATTAGTAATAATTTAAAAATTTACATCTCTATAAGGTATGCTTCCTTGATGTTTCCATGCGCAACCATTTCTATAAAATTGGTGCTGAAACTATTGGAATTCTCATCGATAAGCATCCGTATATCCTTCAGAAGATATTGCTTTTTATCGACCGGAATCTCGATTCCCTAGATGAAGTCAGTTATTTCCGTCGTTTGTTGATAATAGCAGTAATTTTTAGCTTTGCATTAGTTGCTAGCAACTTTTAGGATTGGGAAAAAATAATGTTGTAATTTTTTCGTTTGATATTGTGATTCAGTTAGCGTTTAAAAATTAACATCCATTTATCTTACATTCGTTTTTTTTTCTTTGCCTGAAATCGTAAAACGCAAACTTCTCGATTTGCTTGAAACTTCTAGTTTTTGCATTCCTTTATCTTAATTTATATTGGGATGAGACTATAACCAAACTGTCGAACTCATTTTTAGTATGCAGTAGAAGTGCTATCAATAGCACCCTTATCAAAATGTCGCTTATCAGTAGATGACGTCGGCGTAATATGTGGGAAATGGTTAATTAATAGGCCACCAAGTCACCCTGCGTCCAGAATTGCCAGGCTAGCCCTTTTTTTTTGTTAAGGATTACTAGAACTAAAACATTTAGGAAAAATAAGGATTACTTCCCTGCATTTCGAAACTTTTAAAAATTTAAATTTTATAAGATTTATTAGAGATTTCAACATGAAGACATTCAGTATGAAAGAAAAATTTTCGCGTTTATCAGGTTTAATCAGATTTAGTTAAGACGTGTGCTGGGTTCCATGAACTGGGGAACGGATGGAAATGGAAAGCTTTGGTTGCAACCTGAAGTACACGCTGTTTGTGCTGATACCTTAATTAAGGGGCATATGACCCAATGTAAAGCAACTAATGGATTAATTTCGAAATCTTGGAATAAAGTCGCTAAACTGGCATCGAAAGTACCCGACTATGAGCATCAGTTTGATGCTTTCTGTTGGGATATTTTGGTACGATTGAAGTTGCCCGTGCAGGTACCTCTCATTTTAATGTTTTATAAGAGCAAAATGATTCACTTAAATTAATTGAAACCTCATTGTTTTAATTATGAAGTCTCTGCTTGACCTAACTCTCTATGGGTGCAAAAATAAGCCACTGCTGTAGGATTTTAGATCTGGATCTCCGAAATGTGAAAAAAGACGTTAATGTCTTAATCCCTACTCTTTATCGGGAGTAATTACTAATAGAAAGAGAATTTTTTCAAAAGTTGAAGTCATCTGCTTCTATTCCACATTTTCTCTTTTTTTCCGAATTCATATGATTCGTTTGTAGCTAATCTTTGATTACTGAACAGATAAAATCAGGCGAAACTGTGGAACTTTTCCAGGCAAATAATTTGAATATTCAGTCAGTCAACGATCTCGCTTCCTTCTTCGTTTTTATTATTCAACGATCATTATTAAGGTTACAATTTTTTAGCAAATAAATGTTTGCTTCTAGGACATGCAGGACATCAGGAGGGATATCCTGTTAATCCTCATACTTTTTCCATCGTTAAAGCAAAGGCATGGCATTAATTGCATGAGTAATGACTATTCTAACGAGGTTTTTGAAATCGCAATCAGAAGAAGCAGCTTTCAGTGTCGATGAATTTTTGTCATCAGGCTTGTCACTATGGTCGGAACTTATCACATCCGGTTGCTATGTTGGATCAGTTGTAATCCTCGCCCGACTTATGTCATCATTTCCAAATGCAGTCACAGTCTTAACTTCACATGAAATGTAGTTCGAAGTTAAATATTATGTTTTAATTCAATTGGCAATTTCCTTTTTTTTGTGTAAGTTCTTTTCGCATTTTTAGGGTTAGATATGGTTATCAATTTCTGAATTTTTTTGCAGCTTCACACACTGCCTCGACCGATTACTTCTATGTGATTTTTCCTCCTATGCCGTTCAGCTTATTGCTGGCGCCAATAAATTTCCTGGTCCAACTGTCCGTCTTTTAGGCTCAGCTATTACGGTTTGTATTCATTTGCTGAATTCACTAATTCTGCTATTGTTTTTTGGAAGAATCAAGGTTTTTGATTTCTCATTGCTAAATCCTCAGTAAGTTGTAGCCTGAATCTTGGAGCTTTTTGCCAGATCAAAATTTTGAACTCAAAGGATGGATATGAAATAAAATTTCAGTACCATATAAATGAGAATTTTTCGCAAATACAATTGTGCGGTTGGATACAGTTGTTATGCTGCAAAAGGCCCACGCAATGGAACACTGATAAATCCACGCTTTATTTGCTGGGGATATTGGTACGTATAGCATTTGTAAGGGATCAAACAAACCTATTAGGCATTCCGGAATTATTTAAGGTCAACTATGCCGCTTTGCTACAGGTGAAATTTTTTTTCTTTAAACTGTTGAACTTTCAGAAATTAATTTATCATAAGAAATTTATTTTCAAATTAAAACTCCACAAAAATCGAGTGAAACAAGTCCTAGTGCACAGTTATATTCATTGTATGGTCATTCGTTTAATTCATTAAATGACTAGATATCTGTGACGAGGAAATTTCATATTTAAAAAGGTACGCGTCATCACACCGGCTTAATTTATAATTTCAGTTCATTCTGCCCATCTTTATGAAAATAAATTGTAATTTCTGATTTACAGCAATGGAAAGATGGATCAAAAGGTGTGTTATCATGGTTTACAAGTGATGACAGCGTCCCTCCTCTCATTGATTCCTCAAATTTGAACGTTTCACCGTGGGCATCCTTTGCATTGTTATTAGCCGAACAGCAGAGTCATGAAACTTTTTACGAAACTTTATACCAAACAATGAGTAAACATCCTAAACATAATTTGGATCAATCTGTGAAGGTATGGTGTAATAGTTAAATGATCTAATTCGTAGTACTTTTATTTCTGCATGATTTTTTAAATTAAATTAAACTCAATACTCGGTGTTCGGAATTATTAAGTCGTGATTAGTAATATACCACCATTATTTCAGTTAAATCACTGTAACATTTGAACTAACAATATTCAAACAAATTGAAATTAGTGACAATTGTTAGTGATTTAACTCGAGTTTGGTTAAGTAACATGAATAGCATATTTTAATCACATTATTCTAGCTTTATTGTTTGATTAATAATTCCATGCGTGTATGCAGTTTCATATTTAAGTCTTGGACTTTTCTGAATCTCCAACGAGATTATATTCTTTACATTTTCGTCTGTATCTTGTTTTTATGTTACTTACTTCAATTAAAGACGTGTGGTGTTTTTAACTCCTCTAACTATTAAAGTTGCAGAATCTCGATAGTATATTTCATCAGTGAATTTTCATATTTCAATTTCTAGAAGGCAGCATCCAAATCCCATGTTAATATTCCGATTGAACGACTGCATTTTCATCGATGGGTGCAATTTGCATGCAGTGATAATATTAAAGAACATCCAATCTTTCCTCTTATCCTGCAGAATTTGGCAATTCATTTATATTCGCGAAAAATATATTTATCGTAAGTATCGATTTGGCCATGGCTTTCTTTATTTGATATTTGTCATATGTCAACGCATCACTAAGGAGTGATCATTACGTAACTGTTCGGTACTACATGAATTCTTTAGATAGTGCACAAACCTCAAACATTCAGAAAATCATTTAATTGCATTCATTATTCACTACTCCATTTTTTTTAATACTTTTGCTTTGACTACATACGGGATATTTTCTAGGACAAAATTTTGCTTCGGAGAGAAATATCTGACAAGTCCATCGAGCAAGGCTCTGTTTGACGAATTAAGAGAAAAGATTTTACCTCAAATGGAATACAACAGTGAAGTGGGTGTCTCTCTATTTTATAAGGTAAGGTTGAACGATTTGGCATTTTCTGAACTCAGGTTAATATACTTCATCGTATAACATCGAGGTTGTTCGGTAGAAATTTTTGGGCAGCGTCTAAATATTTGGTAAATTATCCATACTTTGAATTAGACAATCTTCACTTCTATATATGAGCCTCACTTCAAATTGTTTGCAATGTAGGGATTCAAGGTTGGCAATGATTTGAGGAATTGAGACCAAATAATTTGAAAATAACATGAGTTTTGCATTGAATTCGACCACTTCGTCTGCATTTTCCATCCCATTTAAAATGAAATAAATATCAAAACTGTTTATAACTTTAATCACTGTGATATTGAATCATGCAAAATTTTAAAGAGAAAAATCTTATATTCCAGGCATTTGCTCAGTGGTTATCAAATCCAAAAATCTGCAATATATCATTTCATGCTTTTGAGGATTTTTTACTCGACCATTTATTGCAGTTTATTGTTGCAAATGACTTGGTTAATTTTCGCATATGGATACAGCCGATTCACTAATTTTTAAAAAACCAGAATTCGTTGTAAATTCTTGGAAAGAAAAATGTATTTCGATGATTAGTAATGATTTATCGGATTCTAATTTCGTGGTATTATTAATCTTACCTCATATTCCTTCATCCCCTTCATTTCAGCATCCTTGGTTGGAATATATGAATATAAATGAACTGCGAAAGAAAATCAGTGATGAACAGAAGGTTGGCATATTTTTATCCATTTGGAAAAAGAGTTTTGTTCAAACTGTTATATAAGATTTTGTTCTTCATTTTTGCGCAATAAATGAAACAAAACAATAGTTTGCCGAAATTTCAGGTCAAGGTGTTCTTAAAATAAAATCACCGTCAACTTTGCTTTACAGCTGTATATATTTGCATGTCATCTTGGTTCACTTGTGGTTAACCCACCAGTTATCCGTGCGCGTAACCTTACACAACTGGTAGCTCAATTCAACAAACGCAATCAGGCACTGCCTTATCCTGTGATACCGCTACATCCCACATTGCCGCGGGAAATTCCTTTCGATTTATCTATTGCATGTGATAGCCGTAATTGTCTTACGCCATTTGCTGCACATGTAAGGGCAATCAATGAAGCTGCCAGGTTTTTATATATTTCAAGAAAATTAAATTTTTTCAAAGATTTCTTTTTGATTAAATTACAAATTTTTGACAAGGAAATGAAACGAATTTTCAAATTGAAACCATAATATGGATCGAAATTTAAAACTTAGATTCCACGGAGTACTTTTATAACCTGGTTGAATATGGCAGGATATTTGTTGGTGTAAAAGATCAGATAGAAATGCTGGATAACGAATACATCGGTTACTATCCGGACCTATATACCAAATCAGCAGGTGAATTACCCATTGTATTGAAGTGTGGTACCACCTTCGGCAGCAAATGTGCACATCCTACAACGTCCACTGTAACTGTTGCAATCAGTCGATATCAGGTATAGTGTTTATCTTCCATTGATGTTTGCTGGAACTTTGTTGCTAAAAGTTCCAAGTTTTTTCAAATGATAATGATCTTATTTTCTAATGTATTTCTCATAGATTTTCTTTCCAGGTATCTGTGGAAGATAAAATGAAGGCTAATCGTCAAAAAAGATCAGATGAATTGACAAGCATCTATTGTAAAGTGTTTGAACAAACATCACTTCATTGTGCTAATTTGGAAAATATAGTGATGTAAGTGATGAGAAATATTTTGATCAATTTTAATCCTTTAAATTCATTCGTTAATTCCACTGCTACTTCTTTACCAAATGAAACTGGAGTGTGAAGAGTATACGGAATTAGAAATCTTAAGTAAGTTTTATTTAGCAGTTGGTCTGGTATAACGTGATATTAATGCGATAAATGGAAATGTATATAGGCAAGAAATTAGAATTTGGCTGCTTCTTCATTTCAGTTCATTCCAGGAGTACCGAAGTTGTCAAAATACTGTTTTTTCAGTAAAATGCATAATTATATGGTAGATATTAGCTCTTCCTCTGCAATGCATACAAAGCTTTTGCGTGATGCAGGTCGAATACTCTTTTATCATTCCACTTCTTCCATCACTTCATTGGAAATGATTTTCCCGCCAGCAGCAGATTCGTATGGATTCGTTTTAGCCAAACTTGGGAAAGTTTGTTTCACTTTAATTGCAGTTTTTCTCTTTATTCTCTATCGAAGAGGGTAGGAATTGGATGGTTTCTGAAACCTGAAGATGAGAAATGATAATGTCAGTCAGCTTATGCCGCATTAACCATATCTCTCGATCTCGCTTCCAAAAAAAAAAAGTGCTTGACGCGGGGAGAATCTTGACACGGCAGTAGAGAATCCAATTTCAGAAAACTATCTATTACTTAGACGAGAGCTTCTCAATAACCTTTAGATGATATTGATGGCGCTTGATTATTTGTTTGCAGGCATTTATTGCTGATAATTCACAAGAACAGCACAATTTAATGCGTGTTATCCTGAATGGTTCACACTTAGCCCATCTTTTGACGCCATACTTTACCCCTCATTGTGTCCCTCCAGCCGAATTGTTTAATCTATATACATCTTTAAGTAAAGCAGTCCGTAATCCAATCACATCATCAGCCGCATTAGCTTTATTATCACAGTTGGATATCAAGAATGCTGGCGATAGGTTGATCTCCATTTGTTTAAAATTCTAATTAAAGATTAGAGATTAATTTAAACTATGTATTCAGTGTGAAGCTTGCCATGTAGTGGCACGACTGTTCATCAGCTGAAGTCTGTACACGAAGAGGCTTATGATCTCAGTAGTCAGGAATCATTTGGTTCAATTTTCTCGTAGTAAACTCCGTGTCTTTTGCAAACAAAAGAGTTTTATTGATGAATTCATGCTGTCTTAAAGACGCAATATGGTACTGTATTTCTAATTTTGAATCTGAATCTGCAATTAATTTGGAACTGTGCATTGCACGATTTCAGGTTACCGCCTCATCAGTTTTCACAGCTTATGCCTGCTGCATTTGAAAACTTGATTTCAATATCAGATACCTCATTGCCATTGTATGATGTTTGCGCAAAGCACTTTATCCATTCTGTATTCCATCGATTTCCGAGCAATTTCATTGACGGTTTAAAACTTTCACTTGCTGGTATGAGTGGCACATAATTTTTTTACTCGGGAATTTTGCACCAAGACGAAAAGTAGCTCTTGTAATTTATTTCCATTTCTAAGAATAAAGGGTTTGAGATGTGAGATATGCTTAATTCTGCTCTAAATGTTTTTCCTGAACCGTAATTTGGTTTTTTCATCTCGATGGATTTAAATATCACATTATCTTCGTACTGCATATGTCTCTTATCCCACTTACATTGCTATTCGATTTTTAAGAAAGTGTTTTTGTAACTGTTTTAGCCTTCAAAATACATCTTTTTATACCCAGGAATTTGATTCATTACATGGCATATTTTAAAATTTTTAGTAAGTTTTGTTTAACTAGCATTTCATTCCTATGCATGATTTTTCAGATCTCAACAAAATTTTTTGTATTTTTTCTAGCGTGCGATACAAAAAGTACGCCATTATGCATATTTGATGAAATTATCAAAAAACTTGGTGCAGGCAAGATGGGTTTAATGGATACTAAGCCAGAGCATGTCATCGATATTATGACTGTAAGTCCTGTGTGCGGCTCTGCTCAAATTTCATCTAAATTAAAATATGTTTAAGAAATATTGAAATATTTCGAAACAAATTTCGTCTAGAATAATTTAGATAAACTCTAAATTTAAATAATTTCGTTTGAATTAAATTAAAATAACAGCAACTTAACTCGAATTAAATCAGTTTCAAATTGTATTGGTAAATTAGCTAACCATGTTAAATTAATTCAAAGACAAGTTAAATTAATTTGTCGTTGGTTCTTGAATTATCTATTATTCCACAATTTGCTGCTCACTATATCTTCCATTTTACTTGCTATATCTAGGTCAGTAATTCCACAAGAGATACTCTTCCTATCTATAAGGTAATTGAATTATTGCAGGCGACTGTTGCAAGTGAAACAGTTGCTGTACAATTCAAGAAATCTAGGAATGAATTGTCTACCAGACTGTACAGTGTTTGGGCTAACTATCTACCGAAGGTGTTGCATTTGGTTCAGTTTTTTCTATATAGTGCAACATCTTTATCATTTAGTTCCGAACAACCTACTGGAAAACTTGAATCAGGTCTGTTTTCACTTCTAACTACTGATAACTGCATTTCATTAACGTTTTAAATATTAGCTGAAGATTGAAAATAGAGGAGAATTTTAAAGGATTTACTGGTCTTTTAAATTGTTAATAATTTCATTTTATGTTGTATTACTTGTACCAATGTTAGCACAGAGTAGAAACCACTAATTGTTGTAGAACGTGACACCACACTGTAGTGATCATTAGGCATGTAGTTTATTGCTTTTGCTTTTAATTTGAATGCAAATTTGACTGTATATTTCTGAGCTTCGCCTTTTTGGTGGTGGTATTTACACGTCAAACACAAATCAAGAGGAGACTTTTCGTTTTGCTGTTGGAACTTATAATTTATTCCCCATGTTTACTGATACTTTTCTGTTTATTACTAAATTGGTAAGTTACTAAAATCTTTCCAGAATTACGACAGATGTTTGGAAATTGCATCCAAGTGTTTGGCCCACTCCTAGAACCATTTGGTTCTGGTCTTCCTCCATGGAATCCAGCTGATGCTGATAGTGCTGCCGTTGTTCTCGATTACTTTGTATCGTTGATGGAACAGCTTCATCTACTGTACGATGCCTATTTTCCACCGGGTTCTGAAAATTTGATAATATTGTTTTGGCGTTACTACGCGGAGAAATTGGCATGCTTCACTCGTGGTGGTTCTCATGTACATCAAATTATTGTATGTTTATCGTAGTTGTCATTCTTTAAAGAAATTTATTTCTGCCTAAATTAGATTTTCTGCGACTACGCTCACTTATTTAGCTGTTATGGTAGCATGATACACATAGACTCCTGAAAGAAAACCATCATATAATTTTTTTTGAGATCGGTTGACCATATCCTCTGTAAAACATCCTGAACTATTTGAAGCTCCAGGAGAGTGATATTATCTCGCTTTGGTAATTATTATACGATTGCTTGGTATAGGCATACAGAATTAATTAAATCTTACTACTATTTTTTTAATTCGATTTTTTTGCATTAAACTGAAATATTACAGGAAAGTCGTTTTATTAATATTCCTTGGCATTTATTTTGGCCAAGTCTATACGATCTTGCTTCTATGGATAAAATCATGGTTGAAGGCGCACCTGAAAGTGCTCCTCTTATTACTCAAATTGTTGTTCGTATTCCATGGCTTCCTCTCATACAGTACCAAGTGACTTATTTGTCCTGCTTTCTTCATTCAATCCTGACTTTTATTTATCTACCTCCGTTTCTTATTTTCCAATTACAATATCTATCCATTATTTTCACGTAGCTCCGTTAAATCATATGACTGTGTTCTGAAAATGATTGCTTCCACTTAAATCACAGTTACATTTTTTAAAGAATTATTCTATTACAAAGTTTCGATTTTCTTTGTTGTATTATTAACTGTTCGAAAAATTTCTTCATGATTGAATTTTGCAGGCGCAGCAACCCTTAGATGCACATCGCGCTTTTTATTCATTATTATTTTCACTACTGACAAGCTGTATCAGTCGGCCATCCAATTATGCAGTTAGTCAATCACATGCTTTTTAGAACTTTTATTAAGGAAGTTTTCTAATTCTTTAATGAGTTTCAGCAAAATATTCACTATATTTCATACACATAGTAGAATTCTTGAGAGAGAGTCGGTAGTAGGTAAAATAATCCATAAAATAACCTTGTTCATCTTCGATCTCAGTAAAATTTAGAACGTTGCACTGAATACATAAGTTTTCTTTACACACTATGCAGAAAATTGTAACTCTAAATTTTTGGGTCATCGAAAGAACTGAATTGGTGGCGTTAAAAGCTAGTGAAGTAACAGCAGCCCAAGAAGTAGTGGATAAGCTATTTATTACGACTTATTCAATAGATTTCTGAAAAACAGTAGCCTGGAGAAAGATAATTTGCTTATAAGTATAGATACTATCCAGTCGTTTATCGTATTGTTTAATTGTAACTTTCTGACATATTACCAGTTACTTTTAGATTTGCCGTGCTTCGTTGCCAAAATTGATGAACTCACTGGGACCATTTCCATGGCATTTAATTGACATGGAACAACTTAATGCTATTTCATCTCGTATTGCGTCCAGTTTTTCACCAGTAGTCCTTACTGATCCAAACGATATTACGAATGCTTTTTTTGAGTTTGTCTTCATTTTATGGAATCTTTAACACAAATTTTGCCAATTTTAAATTCCGATTTCTTTCTTATAATTTTATTTTTGTGCCAACTTCTCAATATAAATGAGTACGTTTTTGAAATGAACGGTATTCGATTTATGGTTTGATATTTTTCAATGGTATGAAATTTTTTTTGAATCAATAGGTTGTACCGTCGCGTTTGTTTTCTTGGGACATTTTCGGCTGATGTTGTTTCGGCTGCAGAAGTCTGTCAAAAGCAATCCTTTTATGTTCGTACTCAACTTGCCTTAATGCTTGAAAATTCGAACGATCGGACATGGCTAAGACGGTTTTATGAGGACCAAATCAAAGTTGTTGACAATATCGTTTCATCAGCAGGTATTCCATTTCATTATTATCATTAATGTCTGAGCAGTTGATAAAATCAGTATTGTTGACGTTGAGGAGTTGCGGAGACTTAATAGTTAGACCAATTTTCCAGAAAAATTTATGTTATTAACGTATGATCTTTTTAGGATTATCGGAAAATCAGGCATATTTATCAAGTGAACTGACGTCGTTCTGGTCTGATATATCTGATAATAAATTCTTAGGTAATGGTTCGATTATTTTAGTAGCATTCGTTCAGCCCTCTTATTTTATATAGATAATTACATCCTTTTGCCCTTATATACCTTTCCCAGATGCTAAGTAATGATGGATGAAAACAGAGGAGGAGAAGTAAATGAAGGAAGAATTGAAGAACAAAAGAACTGGGAAAAAAAATCCGAAAGAAACTAAATTAAGAAACATACTTGTATCATAACATAGCTTTTCAATAAATTTCTGGAAAGATTCTATACCGTACCAAAGATGTTTACAAAGTATGTGACGAATTTATAGCTTTCGCTCTTCATCTTCTAAAATAAGAAAATTTGGCGTTTTTTTGCTAGCATACGAAGTCTGAAAGATATTCTGCTACTCTTTTGAAGATTACTATTTAGACAACTATTCTGTTACCCAATCTTACTGCTTATAAATATGATGATGACAAAATTCGGATATATGGAATAAATAGTCTACTAAAAGTCTATTGCATAGAATAGTATGGAAAGCAGAAAAATGGATGGTTATAGTGCAGAACGTAATTTTTATGATTTTTAGAAGTTTTTTCATCAGCCTTATTGCAATGGTTGGAAGAGAACACTAATTCTTCACTTGTTTTGTTACTACTGTATACCACCATAGGTTCTTTAAAAATGAAACAAATTTCGCTTGGTCTTCAAATTATCGAGAAATCTATTGCAACATATTTTGGAAGTATGTTTTTTAACTTTTTTTGTTTTTTGCAATACAGTTAATGTCTCCCACTTGGGATGGCAACTTAGGCTATCATCGCTTAGGTTACTTAGTGTAGTTCATTACATGATGGCAGTTAATTAGACTTCCGCTTAATTAGGCCTCGTGAGTAATAGCATAATAGCATATTTTGCGATTAAATAGACCATGCATGTCATTTCAAAAGGTAATTTTGCTTCAAACACAACAAAACAGTCATTCATATCCTTAGACTTACATAATCATTAGGTATTTAAATATGTTTTCCCAACATACCACCTATAATACCATGTTGAAATGCCACATCAAAATAACTCATGGACAGTACAGGCATATTTCAATCACTTATTTTTCAATTTCTTAGCAGTTATCGTTCATATTTCTTCAAGGAATGGGCTTATGCGAATGGGATGTTGTACTAAAATGGACTGCTTTACCTGATTATTGCGGTCGAATTCTTTTCACTCTACCCAGGTAAGTTCTGCAACATATTTGCTGGATATTTATCGTAAATTAAAAGTTTAACTTCGTCAAGATGCAGTACATAAATGTAAGTCATATCTTTTTCGATATTGCGCTACAATCACACAAGCTGCCAATGAATTAAAATCATTGTAAAACTGGTAATGACGTATTTCTTTCAAGGATAATTAGTGAATACTTAACTCACTATCTTCATCAACTGCTTAAAATTTCCGAAATAAGGATGTGTTATTTATATTCTAAATTATCTAAATTATCCAGAATATTGGTAGTACGGTACAACCCATAACTATCCCTACTTCACAGTGGGATTACCGATATTATAGTGCTTAAATGAAAGTATGATCCTCATTTAATGAATATGCATAGTATATTTCTGTTTTCACATAGGTCTTAATGAATTATATAATTTTCATTGTTTTATTCTTTCAACTTACCTTTCGTAGGATCACTTTTAGTTCTGAAAATAATGTATTCTTACCGTTATGCGCAAACGCATTTATAATGAAGCAGCTTATGTCACTGACATCAGTGAAGCAGCTGGAATCTGCGTCATTGCAACAGGAAAATGCATTGTTACGAATTTTGTTGGATTACATAACAACTATAAAACCAAGGTATCACTTTGGAAAGTGTGATGAGTAAAATGTGATTCCAGAATTATCTATTTGTGGGGTAACTATCAGGCATGGTTTTGTTGCTGAGTTTTAATGATTACATCTCAATTACACTGAAATCATCGCATATAAAGCCCAACGTCGAGTTCTTATTGAGCAAGTTCGAGGCATACTAGATCTGACGACGATTTCAGTATTAATGGGTTTCAGTTATATGCTCGGCAAAACTATGCTAAACCTGCTTGCCTTGAGAACAGAGATAGTGCTGTAATCATACCTTCGTTTTTTATATTGCTATCATTAGGGTGAAATCATAGTTTGATTTACACGAAACATGAGAATAAAAATTTTTTCAACTTTTTTCTCCTAATTTTCCCCTTAAAAATTTATGAAAAAGGTGCAGATATTGCTATTAAAAGACTATATGGCGAAAGGGAGAGAAAGAGTAGAGGGAAATAACAACTGCATTTTAGTGACATTGAAAAAGCAGTTTTATTTCATTTCAGATACGTGACCAATGAAGCGGCATTCCTACTTTTGATGGAGAAATTGCAGAAATTACTATTGCGACAGTATAATTATTCTGGGACTCAAGGCAATCAATTTCTAATGCAGTATTTGGAATGGCTTGAACGGGCAAGTAGTGATGACAAGTCAAACTCTTTCTTTTCCTTAATTGGCTTCTCCAAAAAACAGCCTTACTCCATTAGGTTACTTTTATTTTTAAAATTTGGCTAACCGTTTGTGTAGTTTTTTTAACACTCATCATTTCAATACATTTTAATAAATTGTGATCCGATTTTTTCTTGAAAAAAAAATGAATAAATTGTGATCTGATTTTTAGAATACTGCTTGTTGTAATTCAATATGAAGCCGGGACTGCTCAGTCATTCGTTTCTCTTCCAAGTTTTACCTATTCGAAAATTTTGTAGTTCATAGCTAATTCTGTAGCTGCTAAATTACGGCTATTCTCAAAATTTTATTGTTTCTCTTAAACAAGACTTCAAAACTTGGAAAAATTTTCGATATAATCGGAGTGTCATTATAAGTAGCAATATCAAATTTTCTTTCCAGAATGCGCTACATATGCTATTTGATGAATCTATATGTATCACAGCAAACGATAGCTCCAAATCAACCACCGCGGAATGCGGTCAATGTTCCGGTACTTAACTGTCGCATGCAGTCATTCAAGGAACTCTGCGCAAATAAGCAGTATACTCCCTTCCAAGCAACTTCTGAGCTGGCTCAACCTTACTTTATTCAAGTGCAGAATTACCACATCACACATATGAATGAATTGTTTGCACGTGTTGTTCGGTCGTTATACAACGAAAAGTACTTAGAGGAAATGCTTGCTAACGCTGGTCGTTCTTACTGATATATTAATATTAGTTTAAGTTTTTCCGCTTTTTCTGCTTAATCACTATCTTTGATATTCACAAGTACTCCATCTTGTTTTTGCCTAAGAATTTGAACTACTTTATTTAGGTTAGGTCAAGAATACTAATAAGACAAATCAGTGGGGTGAGATAGTCCTTAAGTGTCATTTTTTTTCTTTAGATATTTTGTTTTATAGTTTAAAGGTATAGGGTTGTATATTCCTTTTATACCTTGCATTTTTATTGGATTGATTTTGTGAAATTGAATTTTTATTTGAATGTTTTTTGCCTCGAAATATTTCGATTTCATTTTTATGTAAGCAGTATTCTAAATTTTGACTTATTGGAGCTTTATTTTATAAATTTTCACGCTTTAGCGCTTTATTTTGCTGGTTGAGCTTCTTTTTTCTATACATGGTTTGTGAAATCTTTATAAGATCATTCCATCCATTTTATTTCATTTTCTCATTGCTGGAAGTTAGCAGGGCCGATAAGTAACCTGAGCGGAAGCGCGGGTAGCATTCAATGAGTAAACGTTTTTTCATTAAGTCCCATTCGAACTTCTGCTTCATTTCAAGTTACATCTATACTTTGTAAATTAGTTTATTTGTACATAATCTTTCCATGCATTATCGATAAACTTACGCGTTCACTTATGCGGGTGTTGTTTTCACACCGTACTTATTGCCAGCACTGCATGTATTTCTGATAATGTTCAAATAAATTTGATAAATTTTCTATCCAAATTGTTTCCATGTTGCATTAGTGATTATGCTAAACGATAAGCTTTTTATGAGTGAGTACTCATTGTTCAGATCACTGATAGATCTATTAGTTCTTCAAGCGTGAAACATCACGGATTCGGAAGAAAGTCTTTCAGTTTTGCTACGTACAGTTTTCACGAGGCGTGTTTGTCCTGGTATCGCCTGAGGTCGTAGAATCTACAAAATTGGGAAAATTGGTTTCGTGACCAATTTTAATAACTTTTTTCGACATTTCATGCTCAAGATTCGTGTGATATGGGCAGCTCCGGAAGAAATCTCGGAAATTTGAAGATAAGGTAATAGAGGCTTTCCCTTTAACTGAAAGATATGTGAAACCTGAAATGAACAGACAAGATTTTCATCAACAATCATGCTTGCGGCTGAATTATCGAATTGTCCGCAGTAATGCGGTGCCGAAAAAATCGTTACTAAACGGCGATTGCCAAAAAATTCATAGCCATCTTGTACGACCTAAAATTAGCCTTTATTTACTCTACGTTCGATCAAATAAATTTGAACGCATCAGTAAACTAACTCACTAATATTTCAAAAATATCACTTTAAGAATTATTGCGCTTTGTCCAAAAATCTCATTACTCTCCACTTTCACCCCATTTCAAATATTTCTGAGCATGTGAAATATTTGAAAGAATTATCAGTTCAATTGCTCAAAGTGCTTATGCACCATAAATTGAGAAGCGAAAATCTGAGATACTCAGCGATACAGGATTTTGTTTCATCTCAGAGGAAATATTTTACAAGTCAATTTTTCGTACTTGATGAGCCCGAGCAATCATGTCAATGTCCAGTCTTTTGCAAATATCAACGACAACATCCTCACCGAAACCAAACGACGCACCGCGTAAATTAGGTTCAAAACCTTGAATACCCACTACTGGGTCAGCCCAAAGGAGATCCATTTCCAGCGATGGACTAACCGGTTCTAACGGGCGCGGTATATTACGTAACTGCAAAATTGATTTTCACTTCGATAACTATTAGTAAAATTGATCTTAGCCTCAGAATAACCTTTAACCTTAGCTTCAGAATACTGGATTCCTAGGTTTGAGAGCGGACAAACGGATAACTAACCAGAATAGCGACGTACATGTTTGCTTCTTTTAATATTCTCGTAAAAATCTCGAACATTTTATATCAAAAATTCCCACTTGTTGCGAAAAACGAGTGACAAGAGACCTCAGGTGACATATACAATCCTGTTGGTCATTACTTCATTTTGACGTTTCAGAGAGAACAAATTGGAATTATAAAACCTGTTCGAAGTCTTTTAATTGTGGCGATAAACCTCCGTGCATGCATAAGATTCGATTACCAACACAACCACATAAAGGCATAACCGCAAATACATCCTAAAGCAGAAATCTCTTCCGTTAATTCATTCAGGAAAATCAGTCGAATAAAAAGGAATTCGAAATTGTTCCTAGTCATTTCTGTTTTCTTACCAACTGAACTACAAACTTATCATTTTTCTGGAGGAAATCGTGACTTCTACCGAAATAAGAATCCCGATCCCGCATCTTGCTTACCATACCTGAAATCCTTGCCAAAGGCGATTTGAACCGTAACGTCGCAAGCATTCATCATAAAATCCGTAAACTCGATTAACCGTATTACATTCGTGATTACCACGTAATAAGAAGAAATTATTCGGATATTTTATTTTATAGCAGAATAAAAGACAAATTACTTCCTGAAAGTCATTGCAGATTATTTGTGTCATAGATTGGGCAGAAACTGGAAGAAAAAGACGTGCGGTATGATGGCCTGTCTGATATTAAAACTTTGGCTTATTTTTTTGTCCTTGTATCTGTTAACTTATATTGGCTTTGTTATTTCAAAATACATTTTGTTGTCTACTATGAGCCAGTAAGGCCTAAGCATTACTATATATACAGTCTTTCTTGTTCCATATTTGATTTTTGCTAGTAGCCTAATTTGCTCTGATCCTTAATTAGATCCCATATTGTAACAAAATGTTTTTAGATTCTATCCTAAAGTTTGCATCAAAAAGTTAAGACTTCATGCTCGAATAATTTCATGCTTCTGCTTTTAATTATCTTCCATTAGCTTACTTACTCATTTTCAGCTCTATTTCATCATACTGGTTATAATTTCAACAAATTAGTTGTGTCAGTCAAAATTTTGCAATGAAATCGGAACTAAAAGAACTAACAAGATTTTGGGGACCGCGATCTATATAATCACCAAGGAATAGGTAATTTGATTGTGGTGGGAAACCACCGCGATGAAAAAGTCGCAATAGATCGCCATATTGACCATGTGTGTCGCCACAAATTCTAACTGGTGGGTCAATTTCAATAAACATAGATTGACTCAAAAATATCTGCAGATACAACATTAGGGCATTTCAAGCTGTAAAGTTTTGGATTTTCCGAAATTTTAAATTGGCATTCCTTGCAAGAAATTTGAATATTTTCAAATTTTTCCAATGAGATTAATGTTTGAAATACTTATAACACTCTGAAATTCCATTATCCCATAAGTTTTTTGAAGTTGCGAATCTTTTTCCATTTTGAAAGTTTCATACCAAAAAAGAAAAACTTTACATTAACTTTCACTTTTTACCTCTCGAGCTTTCACACATAAAGCAAGCAATTCATTCTCGCATACATTTCTGGTTAATCCACCGCCTTCCTTACCCACTGATAACACTCGACACAAGATATCGTCTACTTTCATTTGATAACAATGACAATGATAATCCGAAAGTTCAATAGGTTTCCTTGGAAAGTTATGATATCTCTAACAAACCACCTACAGCAGATCATAACAAATTAATCACAATTCATACCATTTATAAGTGGGAATTATCAAAAATTTGCATCAACATTGTCATTTAAACAAAAATGAATAAATGAATATTTTGATGACTAATTCATTTTTGATGATTAAAATACTCGTCTGGAACAAAATAAATGTTACACTATACCAAATATCGATTTTTTCCTGTTATTTTTAATTCAATCAAAATTGATAATCGTTACTGATTACGAAATTTTTCGCTCAATTTGCATAAATAGATGGATAATGAATTCGAAAGATTTGAAATTTCCAAGCTATAAATTTGATTGATTATATTTCATTTTAAATAGTTCGTCTTGTCATGTCTTAAAAAAAAAAAAAAAAAATGAATTGCTGCTTTTTTTCTTTCTATAATTTTTGTTTTCCACTTCCTCCTTTTTTTTTTTTTTTTGTCGCAAGGATGATTTAAAAGCTGTTTTTATTGATTGAAATCATTATTTACATTTGTCATCATTGAATTCTTCCACTGATATCCCATTCAAACAAACTGTTTGAAATGATTGAATGAATCCTTAGTAAGTTTCATTCAAAATTACTGCGACAAAATAGCTCATCATATCAAGCAATTAACGAATATGATAAGCTGACGTATGATGGCCTGTCTGAGGGATGGAGGATAAATTTCAGGGATGAATCATATTATCATCAAATTTCAGGGATGAATCATATTATCATCAAATTTCAGGGATGAATTTGCATTAGTAATACCTATCGAACATTTGTTTAAATAATGTTCTTAACAATAAATGCTAAGCATAATTGAAATAAAACATATGTTGTTTGCTTTTTTATTGCTTAAAAAAAAAAGATGAAATCTAAGAATTATATTAAATTCTTTTTTTTTTAAAATAACATTCATTTAATTTCATGCATGCAATATGTCTGTGGCTAAGCAATTTCTTCTTTTAACATTTAATCGATATACTTGACTGCAGTTTAATTCCAAATATTACATAAAAGATAACAATGAATAAGGAGATGTTAAATGATAAGATTACAATAAGAGATGATAACACGTAGAATTACAGCTATAAAATGGATCAATGTGATTGAATGAAATTTTACGGGGTATAATATGAAATGAAGGATTCGGAATCCAAAAACTGAATAATACTTTAAAGAAATGATAAAGTAAAAATGAAATGATATTGAAATGAATAATCGAAATTACCAATTGAAATTAAACATTATGCAGTAAGTAGATTCAAAAGCAAATATGCGCATGAAATGAATACCCAGTGGAGATTGTTGTAAAGATAATTAATTGGATTTCAGCAGTTCTTTACTGAAAAAAAAAATTATTTATATCATTCATTCTTTTATTATAATTACTTTTTGTTTTTTCTAATGTCATAATTCATATTGTTATGATCATTAACCGTTATTATATCACTTTTTAGATAAGTTATAGCTGATATAACACTTATCACTACTATTATTATTATTATTATTATTATTATTATCATTACTATCAATATCATTTCCATTACCCTCCTGCTATCACTTTGGTTTCTGCAATCTTGAAATTGATTTTTAATTAAATAATTTCACAGAAATATCAATCCAACACACAATTTTCTTTCTTTTGAAATTGTCAGCATGCAACATGCAGCATGCAGTTTGCTTTTTCTCTTACTTCACTTATTTTATGATTAATAGAATGAAGTGTTTCGAAATATTCAATTATTATAGAAGCAAATACGGTATATTGTGTTACTTAAATCAGAAAAAATCATAACGAGGTAATTCTTATGATAATCTTTGATATTAATTAAAAAAGATGAGAAATTAAACTTACTCATTTGGACTGTGCTCCTTTTTTTGTTCTTTTTTTTTTATTTATCAAAACCAGCAGAAGTTAGTGATCTTTTACCAAATCTAACAAATGTTTGTCCCCGCTTATTGGATGAATGCAGTTCAGGATGTATCTCAATGTCATCGATAGTATTCTTCGAAGCTGCTACAAATAAATCAAAATCAGAACCTTAAATTGGTGACAAATTTATAGCAGTTTTTTATAAAAATGATATGTACAGATGAAATGTTCGTATCTGAACAACGAAAACTTATTAATGTTCTTTAAACCAATGAACTTATGCCAAATTTTGGAAATGAAATTCATTTTATTACTTTTCATCACTGAAACTTCAGTATATTTTCTTACTCTACTCCTCCAAATTTTTTACTGGTTACGGAATTTCAATCTCTAAGTAATTATAATTGAAGAGTTTTCCATGTTAACAAAATTATGTTAAATATGTGTTCCACTTAATAAATAAATAAGTATTGGTCGATTTTTCATTCTTTAAATTGTTAAATTTAAGGTCAAGAAAAAAACTGACTGACAAATAAATTTTGCACTGATAAGAGTGATAAAATTAATGAATAGGAGTAAATGAAAAAGAGAAAGATTACCAGCTAAACCTTTTTCTAGATATGTTCGATATCGATCAGCATAATCTCTTTGCAACAAATCATTTATCATTTCTCGTTGCATTTCTTCTGCAAGTAAATTATACTAACAAAATTCTGATTTGAAAATGTCGTTTTTTTATTAGAAATAATTTCATTTGTTATCAGATTAATTCAATTCAACCATTTTTCTGTTTGAAATCTATTAAGCTTATTAAAATGGACCTTTTTTTTTAAAAAAAAGTCTCGATCAAAAATTTCATGAAAATTCAATTTTAAAATTAACCATCATCAGGTAATACAATTCGTCGAGGACTATAAACCCCTGCACTTGTCGATGAAATTAGCGCAATGGAAAATAGCATAAACGCCGATTGGAGGAAATATGTTGTGAAGACCATTTATAGTGTTTGAATTCGCTTTTTTGTCCAATCCGTAAACATAGAAAATTTTGTCAAATTTCAAAAAATCGATAAAACTTAAGTGACATTCGTTTATTCGTTATTATTTATAGATGTGCAAATGGAAAAAAAGAAAAAAAAAGGAAAGACAAATGCGAGGAACAGATGATTTTTGGAGATTAGATAAAATAGTTAATTATTCAAATTGAAATGTGAAATACTACAGTAGGCTCGAAATATTATAGTTTATATTCCATTTATTTTTTTTTCAAATGAACTGATATTGTGCTTAAATTAATATTTTCGATCAATATTCTTGGATTCTTACAGATTGAATTAATAAATTCATTTATAGTTAGAAAGGATGAAATTTCAAATCAACAAATATAGGAGAAAACGAATCATTCTGCAGTCATTCTTCCGATTATATTTAATTTTAAAACCATCAAAAAAATATGAACAACAATCCCCCTAAGTACATGCTCTTTTTAACTATTCATGGAAAAGATTACTATCAACTGACCATAAAATTTATCATTAATGATATTTTTGTTTATCAGTTATTTTTGATGATTTGATAACAGGCAATAAGATGGATGCATGTTGCTGATATGAACTTATCATGCACAACAATTTTCAATAGCCTAAAAGTACATTGATCTGTGTATATTACAACTTATGAATGTAATTTTATCAGTTACTTAACTTCTTTCCCGTTGGTAAATGAGGAAATTGTTTTTATTGTGGAAATATTCTTAGCTCAGAAAAATTAAATGCAAATACTAATTAGTGGTTATTTAAATTTCAAATTAATTAAAATAGGTGCGATCATTTTTTTTAAAATTAGAACTGAAGCAAAAGTTAAGTGAAATTATAGTTACCAAGGAATGAGGAGGGGGAAAGGGGGGGAAAGTGGCTGAAAGAAGTATATTTTCCGTTTTTCTCCTTTGTTGAAAAAAAGGCTAACATTGAAAATGCATGAAGTTCATTTGCATTTTCATATAATTCATGCATTTTATTGAGTAAATGAGATGAAATGAATGGAAAAGTTATGCAAAATAAATTGAACTTTTAAGCTCTAAAATTATTAATTAAAATTTTAAAATCATATCACTAGCTATTGTATTAACTAGCTAATATGAAGGCAGTGTAGTTTTAATTTGCTCAAATTCCCATATATCTATTAAACATTACTTAAATATTACTCGATTAATATGTTATTAGCCTCAGATTATAATAAAATAACAAAATGTATTCCTCGAAATAATATCATTCATACTCCAAGAAACTTTTAATTTATTCGTTAGAAAGTTTCAAAAAAAAAAATCCATTTTAATATCGAAAATATGTTAGAATGGTTGAAATTATTTCAACTATTAATATGAATTGACTTGATAGAATTTCATTTTATAATATTAGAATGGTTAAAATTTTCAATTATTTGATCCAGATATACTTTATACTAATAATATTGGATTGGACCGAATACGGTACAACTCAAAAAAACTTTTTTTTCTTTTATCGGCTATTGGTCTTTTCCTTTAGTTTAATATAGCTTTAATTAATAAGTAAGACTTGATTAAAAATTCAAAAATATAAGACATGATTGATACATAGATGCTTATAAGAATAGATGTTGAAAGAAAAGTTGACGAATTTCATTTGTCGAAGGAAAAATTCATTTTGTTTAAACGTAAGAATTAATTATGCATAACTTGCATACTTATTTCAATGTTTTCACTTCTGTCGAAAAAAAATTTATTTCAAATTTTCAGCTGCGTTTTTGATTACGTAATCAAGATTAAATTCTCTGAAATTGACATTTCCAAGACTATAAAGTTTGTGTATGTGTGTGTGTGTGTGTGTGTGTGTGTGTGTATGTGTATGTGTGTGTGCGTGTGTATAGAATGAAAGAATCTTTAGTCTATAGATTCTATATAAATTTTAAAAATGTCGCCAACAGACTCCAAATAAAACTATAAATGCATAAATATCCATTGTAATTATCTTTAAAGCAATATTTTGTGTAGAAATAAAATTTTTTATGTCGAAGTTTATTAACTTAATTGAATTTAAAATCTTCTAGTAAAAAAGGAAAAAAAGAATTATGAAAATAAACAAATATACTGAAGTGAATGAACCAAGACTTTTAATGATTATTATTATATCTCAGTGGTTATCATCGTAGTCGTATCAACAACTTATTTGTGAAATGGACATATTGGAATGAAATTTAAATTGCCTTTTCAAAAAAGGAAAAAAAAGCGGACATGAAATTTATCTAAGATTTACAAGTAACTTGTGAAAAAAAAAGCAAAAAAACCATATGCATCATTTGAACATTAACTTTTATGAAACCACCGAATGGTTAAATTCATTTCAAGCATACAATAGAAATTCTCATTATCGCTTGGATAAATTACTTAACTTCAAACATAACAGAATTAAAAGAAAAAAAAACATACAGATTGTAAGCAATGATGTCAACCACGAGGTTCAGAAAATATTTTAAAAAAATTTAGCTGCTAACTGTCAACAGAATGATTATATTATAACTAAATAGACTGAAAAGCATTACAATTCAAAGATGAGAAAAGTTTAAAAAAAAAAAGAAAAGACAAAGGTAGGAAAGTAAAAATAAGATAAAAAACGTAATTAAAAAAAAAATTTCATGAGATAATTTGCTTAAAATAAAATTGAAATGGGGAAATATTTACTTAAAATAGAACTTTATAACTAAAGTCATTAAAAATTCAAGAAATGATAAAATTTAGATGAATGGTTGAAGAATGATAACAATCCAATGTTGAATATGAATATGCTTATTACATCAATATGAAAATATGTTATTGTCATCAATTAAAGGAAAACTAGCGATCGGAACCGGAATTCATAATGTCATGCTGTAATTTACACCTTTTACAGAAAAAAAAATGAAAAATAAGTTTTTGACCACTTAAAAATCCAATTTTTGGGCTATAACTTCTAAAATATAAAATGTAAGCATGGAAAATAATGCCCATACGTTGAAATCTAACCCATTTGCTACTGATTACTAACAATTCCCATTACTGCCACAAATGATTTCAAGCAGAAAATATTATTCTAAAAGTTGAAAAGAATTTTCCTTTCTATTCTCAGATTATTAAAATTATCAGCCATAAGTTTCTAAAATTTATTCCTTTTAGAAAAAATCCTTGAAGAGGGAAAAAAAACGAAAAATTGAAAAGCTAATTATAGGCTAAATTTAAAATGAATTAAACCATATAGTTTGATATCGTATATAATAAAATGGAAAGTTTTTTCACAAAGTAATTTCAACAACTAAACAATTAATATGGAAATATCATTCCGGATTCTGGATTTACTTATAGCAAGAGCATTTAAAATAACTCGTTAACACGAGTTCCGTGACCCTAAGCTATTTGTATCATTAATAGAAAGTATGAAGCATTCCTTTAAAACATCTCTGCTCTTCATTAGCTATATTATATGAATAACAATTTCTTCTCGTACATATAACAAGCAAGAAAAGATGAAATAATTCTTTTTAAAGCTCCATTTATGACTTCTTATCTGGCTTAATGTAATTAAACGTCTTTTAGCAAAAACTGAAATTAAAATTATATATGATAATATATTGCAAATAAAAGGTTTTATATTGATAAGAAAATTTATTTTTGAAATTACTGTTACAATTTCAAATAAACTTATCAGTTGATTTTTTTTTTTTAACTCTATAGATTTATTTTCTTCACTTTTAGGGCCAAAAAATGAAGAAAAGACGAATGGATGGAATAATATCTTGAAAATACAAAATGCGCCAATTAGCATATCTAATAAGTTGCAGCATTTATTAATTTTGCATATCCAACCTTATTTCATTTCCTTCTTTTTCTTTTTCTCTTTTAAATTTAAAAGAATGAGGAAAATTTCAATTAAATTGTGGAATTTAATCTGCGATTGAAAAACGTCATTAATTATCAAAACAAAAACAAAAATGACCGAATGACCAAATGACCATTAGTATTATCTGGTAGATCGAGCAATTTAAGCATATAAATGAAAAATAAATGTAAGATAAGTTATTTTAATTAACAAATAAGTTCGAAAAATAAGATAGATAACATGGATAGATAAGTAAAAGAAAAAAGACTGTATCAAAATGAGTGATAAAAATTACGCAAATGAAAGAAAAAGCAAAGAGACAGGTTATTCAATGAGATGTTAAAGAAAAGTGTTAATTGATAAAGCAGTAATAAGTACAAATAAACCAAAATAATCATTTTATATCGTTATCTTTATCAGTAAAGGTAGAAATAAATTCATACATTCATATCCTTCAAAACGATTTAACATCTCATAAGGTTTATTTATAAGAATGAATTTAAAATTTCAAATAAATAATAGAAATAATTGAAGAAGCTGCAGATGTCCCTGTAAATTTACATCAATAATGTAATATTATCAGTGATAATATGAAGTGATAAGATCCATTTGAGAAAATGTTGAACTAATATGCAAGATAAATCCATTAAAAATGACTGAAATGTTAGGATAGGAAGTAATGAAGAATTATTCATCATACTTTACTAAATTACAACAATTATAACTTTAATTTTTGCAACATTTTAATTGACAATGTAGATTTAATTACATTTTGAAACAATAAATTTCCATTTTTAGTGAAAAAAATCGATAAATGAAAATAAAGTTAAATATATTATTGTCACACTAGAATTACTCTTTGCATTTACCAATTTTGTTTATTTCCTGTTCATTTTAAAATATCTCAATGATTTCAATCCTCTTCTGAAAATCCAGAATGATAAGATCAATTCAAAAAAGATCAAACAGAATGCTGTTGATCAGTGTTTTTGAAAATAATTTTATGTAATTTGAGATTGTCATCAATAAATCAAAAAATGAAATTTTACATTCGAATCTTGTTCAACTTCAACTCTCATACTTTTCAACTTTTTTATCATTGTAAAACATTCATATTAAATGTTCCATTCCTCAAAACTATTGTT